AATTACCTCTTAAATTGTTAATAGTGAATATACAAAAAATAAAATATATGAATTTTATATTATATTATATTATATTATATTTTCTTATTTGTATATATATTATATATATGTTGATAGATACAATTCTGCCATAATTTTAAAAAAATACCGATATGTTCGAGAAATATATATTTCCATTTAAAACAAGATAATATAATATATAATATTTTTTGAATCATATCATAAAATATTATTACTATATTTTTATATTAAATATGTGTATGAATTTATAAAATTGTAATTTTATGATTAAGTAATATATTAGTAAGCTTCCAAGCAATTATATATTTTCTAACAATCTCATATTATTGTTTACTTTATAACACTTAACAATTTGCTAATCAATTTTCAACAATAAATATACGATTTAATATAATATAATATAAATATCTTTCTTAAAATTACCAAAGATCTACTGATAATTATATGTCTTTTAAAATAATAAATATTTTATATCATCAGTTTCGATACCTAAACTTATTTATTTATATAACAACATAATTACCATCAAGCTATAACAACATAATATATAACTGAAAAAAATATATAAGAAACATAAATATGTAAAAAATATATTTGTTCGATTTACCGCGATATTTTAATAATGAAATATTTTTTAATAAAAGTAATTCCAATTTGTACGTAAGGAAATTTTTATTAAAAAATATCGATGAATATGAATCATAAGAAAATAATTTATAAAACAATAAACAATTTTATTATTGAAAACTAGCTATAAATAAACTATTTCCAATCAAAAGCATTTATTTTAAAATCATATTATATTTGCGTCTTCTTATTGCGATTTTGTTTATAAATATTATGTAAGATATATATTGCAAATTAATGAAATTTTGGATTGATTTTACATAATCCATATTTATTTTATCTATAAAAATCATAATAAAAAATTTTATAAGAATACTATTATCATTACAAACAAACAAGAACTTGTATAAACAATTTATCGATATTAGATTTCATCAATTTATAAATTTCACGATGATAACTGTGAATAACAATACACAGAGTTTAACCAACACACATTGGAATATTTATCTCTCAACAGCGGAAAAACTATTTTTTGAATAAAATCGTATATTTATTCTTAATTTTTTTTATGTTTTTTTTATATTTTCTATTAGATATTATATTTGTGATCTTATGGATATAAAATAATTAATAAAATTTATTTTTTTAAGATCATTTATAAATAAATTATCAAAAATAGAGATAATAAAAATGCTTTTTAATCGTATAAAATAATATAATTATAATATATAATTATTTAACTGTTTGCGCCCCCAATAATAATATTGTAGTGGTTTTGGATATAAGCAAATAACTAGATGCTCATCGAATAGTCTTTCGATAGATTCGCAACAAATAATATACTTCTTAGAGTGGACTGTATAAGTGATTAAACAGAGTGCATGTATATTAAAGAACAAAATCTCTTACCATCAGATAATCGCAGCAGATAATCATGTCCGACGTTCAGAGCGCGATGTATTCACAAACTATCTAATTATCGTATCATCCATCATTATATCAGACGTGATCATCATGAAACTCTATTTACAAGTGAAGCCCTCAGAAAAATCTCTTCTTGCTTCAATTGGAAGGATCATAGTTTCCCGGCACGCCAATAATATCGATGCACGGTTTACGATACCCACCAAATTCGAGAAAATTCCTTGCTTGAGTGATAATCTATATACAAAGATCTCACGATAAACAAGAAAAGATCGACAATCTCTCTTATAGATTTCTCGAACTAGAACAATGTTATTTGTCTTTGAATTTAGCCGCGTTTGAAATACGTCATTGTTAGGGTCGGTTCAACAAGCTGAAGTATGTCAGAAATATAGAATTATAGTCGGCTAAATTCTCAAAGACAGTTTCAGATAACACCGTCTTTTGTTTAGGTTTAATAGAGGCCCGCGCGCAGTAAGAACAAAGAGTTTTTTATGTGAAAAATTTCTCCCAATTAGTTGTTTATAAATCTCGCGAGTAACAAATGCTTGCGAATATTAAAAATAAATATATTTTATAATTTAAAAATATTATTTATACTTTATATTTATTAAAATATAATTTCGTTCTAGTTTAACATCTATTTTAATAATTTAAAAAGATAAATAAAAATCTATTTTAATTTATAATTTTACAACTTATTCTTTTACACATACTTATATTAATTTATGTACTATATTGTCGAATATATTTTTGTTTATTGTTTGTTTTTCTTATTATTTTTTAGCTATATTGCAAAAATTCTAAAAGAAATATTAGAAGAAAAATCAATCATTACCAATTAATTTAAATAACCGATAATACTATTTTTTTTTTAAATAACATAATATATTATATTTATTTTTTATTAAAGAAATGTAATTTTTTATTCTAATATCTATAAGAGAATGTTGATCTGTTACTGTAAATTGATTGATATTGTACGATTCTTCCCTATAACATTAAAAATTAAAAAAAAAAAATTAATATGTTTTTTTTAATAATTGCAAAAGAAAATAAAATTTAAAATATTATAGATTTGATATAATATTGAATATCTGATTTTATTTTGTACTTCAATTAGTTCAATTTTTAAAATTTATTAATTTTTTTTTAATTGCTCTAATATTCTTCATCCAATATATCTGTAGTCTTCATCTTCAGAAATTTGCATCGGAATAAGTAATTCTATTGCCTTCTGTGAAAATTCTTGTGATTTTTTACTTACTATTTACATACTTACAATATATGAATCCGATGTAAATAGCAACCTATTTATAACTAAAATAAATAATAATTGACTGTTTGAATCAAATTTAAATTCAAACAGTAAAAAATTCAGGTATTGATATCTAATCTTACCTGTATAAAACATCATTATTTTCTTGAAAATAAGAAAATTTCCTTGCATAATGCAAACGAACCAAACGGATATGTTTATTTTGCGCTTCTGCTGTTTCTTCGAATAATTGTCCAATTGCATTTTACATTACATTACATTACATTACACATTATGAATCAATATTTTGTGCAATGTTATTGGATGCCAGAGATATAAATATACTTTGTGTAGTATAGATTTTAAATTTATCTTTTCATCAACATTGTAATCGCTTAATATAGCTTTTAAAATAAACTTTTAATGAGAAAAATTGTTTTAAACTAGAGATAAAACTTTTAATTGAAAAATTGATAAATATTTGAAAATAGTTTTTGAAAAAAATTTTGATTTGTTATTGATTTCAGTTAATACAATACCTTCTTAAGCGTGGATCAAGATTTATCATTTCAGCCGACAATTCATAATTTGTGAAAACATGATTCATATTATCATTATTTATTTGTCCTATAGATATTATAAATTATGTTTTATAAAATTATTTTAATGTAAAATATATTTTTATATATTTAATGTAAATAATGTACTTACTATATTCTTGCTTTGGTACATCAACTAGTAAATTCTTTTTTAAATTTGTCTTGAATCACTTTTTTTTTAATTTACTAGATTTTTATCCATACCGGTCTTTATTTACAATTTTTTAACGGATAATTTATACTAAATACTAAATGCTAAATATAACAAACTTTTAAAGAAGTTTATTCTCGTATATAAGATCGATAAATTAAATTTTAATGTATCAATTTCTTTTTTCTAATAAATTATTGAAATCTTTTAAAGTAATTCTACAAATATAGCATTTCATCATCGATATTATATTAGTAATGGCATTGCAAACTTTTGCATCTATCATAGTTACTACATCATATATTTTATTTCAAATTCTTCAATTTAAAAATATTTAAAATTTTTTATAAATGAAATTTAATTTAGAAGATATTAAAATTGTTTTTTATTATCTTCAATTTTAATAATATATAAATTATTAATTTTTTCTTAAACATAATTAACTTCCTTTTGAATATTTTTTACTATTTTTTTTTTTCAAATTGAAGTTTGATAGAGCAACAATAGCGAGGCGAAAACGATGTAGAATTTTCCCATATAATTTTTTTATCTAAAAATTATAAGAACATTTAAAACAAAACTTATATAAAAAAGTTATAAAAAGTTACAAAAATTTTAAAAGATAAAAAGATAAAATTATAATATTACTAAAATTTAATCATATAAGAACCATTAAACTTTGAATAACTTGTAAATCAGAATTTATTTCAAAATCAAATTTCTGCTTGTATTTTTTTTGTTGCGAATTATCGCATTCCCATTTTAATATTATTTTTAATAAGATATGTTTATTTTCATGCAAATTTTCATTAATTTTACTTAAATATGCCAATAATGGCTGTTATATAGTTTAATAAGTCTTGTAATTTCATTTCAGTAGAAATAGCTGTCACGTGAAATGCTTCTCTGATTGAATAATAATCTCTTTTTGCTGCTTGAATTTTTGAATAATAAGGGAAAAACTTTTTATTACTTGTACAAATTATTTCATATTTCATATTTGCGAAATCAAATCAGCACCTATACATATCGCAAAAGCTTTTAATAGTGATAATTTTTCCCTTTTATTTTTTTAATTTTTCACATATGCATTCTTTAATTTTTTTGCTTCCGTTGGAGATTATACATTAATTCAGAAATGTCTTATCGACTTCATATAATTTAGAATCTAATAAAACTTCAATCTCTAAAATTCCTCAGATTTCTTTTGTTCTTGTTCTTTTTCCACGTTCAATTAATATATTAAAACATTTTTTGATCGTCCTTCATTATTTGTCAATATTAAAATCTAAATAAATCTGTAGCTATAATTGTCTAAGCTGATTTTGATTTTGGTTTACATATATATAAATAAATAATATATAATAAATCATATCATTTCTTTGCTAATATTTGTTGTTAAAACGATATCTCAAATTTTTTAATTTGATTTTTAAATTTTTTCAGAATTTAACAATGTACTTTTCAAGAAATCGAATTTTTTATTGAATGTTTCATTTTCATGCTATTGCATGATTTGATATAACTGCATCATAATTTTTATATCTGATGGACTTGACATTATAAACAAATTTTTAAAATGAAATATGAAGAAAACTATGTAAAGAAAATACAAAATATTCAATAATATATGTAACACTAATTGATGTAATATCATAATTTAATTTCTTACCTGGTTCATTTAATTCCATCATTTTATTTCACAAAATTTCATAAAATTTCACAAAATAATTAATTCTAATTTAAATTAAATATTAATTATAACAATTATAAATTAAATTAAATATTTATAATAATTATAAGTATAAAGACAAGTATAAACTATTGAATATAATATATTTTATATTATATTATATTATCATATTATATTATTATTGTTACACTATGATAATTTATAATAATTAAATTAACTTTTTAATTTAGACGAAACTTGCGATCAGTTAATCTGACTAACGACTAATGACTAACGAATTTTTTGTTCGTGTGTTTTGCTTTGACTCGAAAATATATTTATTTATATAAGAAAAGGCCTATCTTTAAAAAGTTTTCACATCTTCAAGTACGTGTTGTCATTATGTTTATATATTTGTCATTGTATATGAAAGTCCCCAGACCGATTGAACGCGAGTCACTTCATTATTGTATATTTTAAAAATTTTTTTTTGATATTCAAAGTGACTTAAAGAGCGATAAAAAATGAATTTTTAAAGTTTATTGTTTGAAAAAATTAATATATTAAATTACAATAATTTTACACAAAAATTTCGATCAATTTATAGCTTTTGAGTTAATATTGTTATTGAGTTTTAATTTTTTTTATTATTTTTAAGTTAAGACTTTGCTTTTTATAATGATACCAGAAAGAACATTAACTTTATTAAATTTCTTTTTAAAATTAAGATTGATAAATAACAAATATTAAAAAATGTATAATTTCAACAATATCAATTAAATCAAAATGAAATTTGGTACAGTACATATCTAAGACACAATCAAATATATATTTAATACACTTATTTCAATCAAAAATTAATGAAATTAAAAAAATAAAATTATAAATAATTTTATTTTTCAACAATTTGGAAACTAATTACTTTAAAAAATATGAAAAAAAAACATACTATATTATAGATTAAATGTTCAGTTAATTATCTGTATAAAAATTTTTTCGGATATTTATGAAAAAGGATTTTTTTTGAGAGATAAATATTACTATGTGAAGTCGCCAAACGAATTGTTCAAGGAGGCAACGACATTTGCTCCTCTGGGAATGAGCCTTAATAAGGCGCAGAAATATTGATCAAAAATTTTCCAAAAGCGCTAATAGAAAACCATTTTAATTAAGTTATTGATGAAATTCTATTATTTTATATTTTAATCTTTCTGAGATTTTGAGCGTCTTCTAAATTTAAAAATATTGTATTTAATATTGAAACATTTCAGTCTTACAGATGTTATAAAAATGTGACTAGAAAATAACTTAAAGAATTATAAATGTTCATATAAGTAATTTTTTATGATATCTACATATAAATTGCATATATTTTAATGAAGAAAGAACTTGAAAAATTATTTCAAAGAGTAATAGAATAGGTTTTGTTTTTATGATGGTCCTGTAGATATTCAAATATCTATAATTATAATCATTAATTTTAAGGAATTATTTATAATATCAAAAAAGAAAAAAATACATTTCAAAAAAAAATACATGATTTTTAAAGAGTAAAAAAAAATCTTGGATATAAAATTTTAATTTCGAATTTTATTAGTTTCCAAAATATTAATAAAAAATTTTTCAGATAATATACTGAATTACGCGTACATTCTTGGTAATGTTAGCACAATGCGATTGCTTATTTATTATTAATATAAAAATATTATGGTAGCCTACAAACAATTTCTATATCAGATAAATGTGCAAATCTTATATATGTTGGCGATTTCTATTAAAAAATTACTTCAATTTTATCTAAATGTAATCTAATGTAATGTATCTAATGTAATCAATACATTATGTTGTTATAAACATAGAATATATAGTATGATATCATTCATTTTATATAATCAAGATAATTATAATCTATACTATATAAATAATTCTTTTGCAATTAATAATAATAATTACAATGAAAAATATTTCAAATTCAATATCAAACAAAAATAAAATATAAAACAATCATTGACTAAAATTATAATGATCGAAGTTATAATAAATATTATAATTATAATCTATAAGGAATTTCTAAGATAATCCATAATCCATAAATAGATTTTAAATACCGCCTACTGTAATATGTTTATAGAAATATATTTATAATAATGATAGATTTACATCATATTAACACATACATTGGCATTCACATGTAAGCAAATTCAATGTATTATATATTAATTTAATGTATATTATATTATAAAGATTTTATCAATATTTTGAAAATTAATAAAGATTCTAAATAAAAATTTTATATATTTTTTTTCTCTCTTTTCTTTCTTAATCATAATAAAATTTCAGCTTATTTGTTTAGAAGTGTATATTGCACACACGAATTTTCTATTGTAAAAGTCTATTGAATTTTTAAATGATTCAAATCTATTGAAAATTGATAAGTAATTTAAAAATAGTTTATTTATTTATTTAGTAAATAGTTTATTTATAAATTATAATATATATATTTTGTATTAGATGTGAATTGATAGTAATATTATATATAAATATAATCGATTTATTTCCGATTATATCTCTCTTCATGAATATATTAATATTCTTAATATATATATATATATATATTGTATAATATTAATATTTTTTGTATTATATATTTATTGTAAAATATAAAAATCAAAAATTGTAGTTATTAAAATGTTCACTAAAAGATTCGTGAGAACTTTTTACGAAAATATTTATCAATAAATATTCATTTCTAGATAAGTCCATTACCTTCAAAATATGATAGCAGCGCACTCTTTTCATATATACAGGTAATACTATAAAAATACAATATTTCCATTCAAAATTAATTGGACAAAACGCTAACAAAGAATTTTTCCCTTAATATCTTGTCAAAATGAGACTCTAGATTTTTAGAATTTGATGTTATATTTTTATTTGGAAATAGTAAAGAAGGAAAAAATTAATTAAAAAGAAAATAATATAATTCAATTATTATGCCAACTAAGATTCGTATATTAAAATACACTTTTATATGTATATTAAATGACATTAAATGTTAAATTCTTGTAATTTTCACTGTATGACGTAATACTATACGATATAGAGATAAAAAAAATTCAATATCCATGATACTGGATTAACGATGAAAATCATATTTAATATTATAACTATGAAAATTACAATTTATTATCGCATGAAAACGTAACTTAAGACATGTATCTCAATAGGCGGCGTAGCAATCGTATTATATTATTTCGTGTCTAGTTAGTTTTTCTTCTTCTACTACTTCCAAATAAGAATATAAGGAGCAATGGAGTTTACTACTAACTGATATTTGGAATAAATTTGTGATATATTAAAAAAAAAATTCAATCTGAATTTTATAAGTAAAATATTTATTAGAAAATTCAAAATAATTAAATTATTTTAAAAAGTAATTTTTCTGATAAAAAAATATATTTTGTAATAATTTTCTCGTATTCTTTATAAAAATTATAGAAATGAATAAAATTGTAATAATTTGAAACATGGCTTTCCTAAAAATATGTCATATATCTAATCGTATGGAATTAATGGTAAGTATTTTATTTAATAATATATATCATATATAGTTTAAAAATAAATAATTGCCAATAAAATATCTCGAAATAATACATTTTTAACTATTCTCTTATTTAAGATGTTTTCAGAATATATTTTACTTTTCTTAAATATATTTATTACATGTATTTAATCATTATATGTATATCAATCTATATATTAATAATTAATTTTTACGATAAAATTTTTTTACATATATGAGAAGAATATTTTAAGTTATCTTAATAATGTTTTTCATTTAATTAGATTAAAAATTAATAAGATTTTATTAATTTTTAATTGAAAGAGTACAATAATTTTTTTTTCTAAAAATGTTATAATGTACTACCAATTTTATTGCTAACATACAAGCAAAATTATATTTATTTTATAATATATAAATTTTATAATCAATTTCTTATGTAGCAAGATATATTTAGATATATTTTTTATGTTTTTATATTATATTATCAAATATTTAAATTTTTTATTACTTATGATGATATGGTTTATATATATTTTATATATAT